AGACAAAACATCACTTCCTGGCATGTGTTCTACTCCAGATGAACATGTCAACACACTCTTTTTGATTGCTTACCTGGTGTTAGTGCTCTGTGAAGGGATTCCGTCACCACAGGACTGTTTCCCACTTAGGTCAGTGGAAATTGTCAAATTCTGTGTCAGCCTTTTACAAATCCCAAGTCTAGTTGGGCAGTAATGAAAGAGCAATGCCCATTTTAAGGTGATATGAATCACAGAGCATATACTTGGGATGTCTTGTTTGGTGGCTAATCACTGAAGGCTGGGTGGGGAAGGAGTCTTTTGGTATTATAAGGACAGAAATTCTTCCTCTTCTCTCTCTCAGAAGAATATAATTAGTTGGAGGCAAATCTTCATGGACTCCAGTTTGTCAAAAGAATCCATACAAATCACAAGTCATCATGCCTGGCATTAGGTGTCTTGCTGTGTTGAAACCTCAAAAACTTTGTTTTCTTAAAAGGTCTGAACTCTCAAGTCATAAAAGTGATATTAGTCCATGTACCTGCTTGCTTTTGCCAAGTTTTGCTTCTAACTTATAAGCCGTAGTAATTTTCAGAGCAATTGATGATTACATGTCTTAAAAGCAGAAAAAGATTTACAACTGATGCTGCAAAAAGTTTGATGTTTTCTCAGAAATGGTGCTTCACCCTTCCATTCTGGATTTCTCTTAGGGAAGTAGTTATTCTCATTGATGTAATCCTTGGTTTTAGTTCTACTTTTGCAAAATAGATGGCGGATTTTCCACATCTCAGTAAAGGGCTTACATTAATAGCAACTGTATTAGGTTTTAGATCTCATTAACACATGCAGATGCATTTTGGTACTGGTAAGAGAAAAGCTGAATTAGGAGCAATTTGCTGCAGCAATCTTGGCAGATCCAGTGGTTAATTTTGTGCTTACCAGAAGTTTGTGCACATTTCTGGATGTTTGTAGTAATATCCAGGTTTTGTACCATTGTTTTTCATAGGTATGTTGGACTTGTATCTGAAAAGTAAACAGAATTCAAAAAACTGTTAAATATATAATGATAGAAGAATATAATTATATGACTGGATATATATTTACACAATGTAGAATAATGGTTCCAGAGCCTACTGGGTGAATAAAATGCATTTCTTAAAGCATTCCAATAATACTTTCATAGTATTAACGGATAAATGGAATAATTACAATTAAGGGCATTTAAATGAGTTTCTTGTGTATATTTATGCATGAGATTCATTCTGCTAGATAGCATTTTTCAGCAATTACTTCATAACTTCTTTAATAGGGTCGCTTTTAATTCTAATGGAAAGGAAACAGGCTGAAGAGTCATAAGTAAGGCTTTAATTTAACTTGCTTACTTATCTAAAAATAAACAAAATTTTTAGATAACTCACACTTAAAATGCAACAAAACCAGAGAAAAAGAGGTATATTTAATGTGAATTCACTGAACCAGATCTCTTGAGACTAGAGATCACAAGTATTTGTGAAGTATGTTTCTGATGGACATATTAAGAAATGCATGTCCAACATGTACAGATTGACTGGCACAAATGCCTTTGACGTGGTCATTCCACAGTATGTTATGACTGGAGTAGTTTACTTTCCTTGGTGGAAAATAAGTATGAAAAAGAAGATTTTATTCAGAATTATGTGTATCAACTCTAGTAGTATCTTGCACAAGTGCTAGAGAGAAATATGGTCATTCAGAACAAAATCCTCAACAAGACAACTTGACACTCAGAATATCTTTTCTTTTCCAGGGGTTTTCTTCTCACTGTTACTACAGTACTGTTTAACATTAGTTTAATGCATTGCTGAAAACCTGTTGCTGAAAAATAGGTTCAACTCATTGTCAGATGAGCTTTATCCTCTCAGTACTTTAAAACTTCCAAGGATGCAGACTGTATTCTTGGAAATCTATTTAATCTTGACTTCTTTCACTGGGAAAAAGTTTTTCCCTATATTATGAGAAATCAAGGTGGTCAGGCAAAGCCCATGGTGACTGGAAAAAAGAGAACCACCACGATAATTTTTTTAAAATGTAAAAAGGAAGACCCAGGGAGCTACAAACTGGTGGGCCTCACCTCTATGCCTGAGAGGCTGGTAATGAGTTGTGTCCTTCAGGGATCAGTGCTCTTTAATATCTTTGTGAATGACACAGACAGTGAGATTGAGAGCATCCTCAGCAAGTTTGCAGATGACAAGAAGCTGATGGGTGGGGATAACAGAACAAAAGGATGGAAAAGCATCCATGGGGACCTGAGAAAAGCTGGAGAAGTGAGTCCACAAGAACATATTGAAGTTCAACAAGCTCAGGTGCAGGGTGCTGTACCAAGGTTGGGGCAATCCCAGACATGAGAACACACTGGAAGAAGAAGTTTTGGAGAGCAGCCTGAGGAGAATAACTTGGGGTTTCTGGCGGACATGAACCTGCAGTGTGTGCTTACAGCCCCAAAAGGCAACTATATCCTGGGCTGCATCTGAAGAGGAGTGGCTGGCAGGTTGAAGGAGGTGATTCTTCTCCTCTACTCTGCTCTCATGAGACCCCACCTGCAGTGCTGCATCCGTCTCTGGGGTCCTCAGCACAGAAAAGACACGAACCTGTTGGAGTGGGTCCAGAGGACTGCCACTAAGCTGGTCAGAAGAGTCCAGCATCCCTCCTATGAAGACAGGCTGAGATAGCTGGGGTAGATTTCTCTGGAGTAAAGAAGTCTGTGGGGAGAATGTGATGTGTCCTTTAGGTTCTTAAAGGGTGCTTATAAAATCGAGGGGATAGTGATAGGTCAAGGGGAAATTTTGAACAAAAAGAGGAGAGATTTAAGTTAGATGTTTAGAAGAAATTCTTTACTGTGAGGGTGGTGAGGTACAGGAAGAAGTTGTGTTGAGAAGCTGTAGATGCCCCATACCTGGCAGTGTTCAAGGCCAGATTGGATGGGGCCCCATATAACCTGATACACTGGGTGGCATGGCTGCTCACACTGGAGCTCGGAACTAGATGATATTCAGTCTCTTGCAAACCAAGGCATTCTATGATTTGATGATTCTATGATACTCTTTATCAATGTTTTTCTAAGATGTGCCTGGCTAAAACTGGACAAAGTAGTTCTGTAGTGTTCTAAAGAGTGGCATGTAAACGGGAATAGGCAATTGTCCTGATTTCTTGAATGTGCTCTTCCTCTTGTTTCTACAGCTGAGAATGCAGTTAGCCATTTCTCTTGCAGGTGCACACTGATGGCTCATACTCAGCTTGCTAACCACTGCAAACTCCAGGAATTTTCCAGCAGAACTGCCTGGAACCAATCCATTCCAGCTTGGAACACTGCAAAAGCCTCCGCTTCCCATGTATAGGACTTTACATTTGCTGAATTTAAAAAGGCTCCTGTTCACCCCATTCCTTCAGCAAGTCTGTTTCCCTCCACCCTCAATTGTATTGACTGTTCCTCCCCTTCTGGTTGTCACCTGTAAACTTGAAGAAAGGGCACTTGATCACCTCCTTCAGCTTACTGTTAGAGACACTAAACAAGACAGATATGTAATGCAACATTAGTGTTTCAAGAATTCAAGTAGTTCATTCTGTCTTTCTGGTTCTGATGCTCACAAGTCTCCCTCCTAACTGCTCTTAACTCTGATCAGCTGAACCAAGGGTAAATTGATGGGCTCTACACCAGAAAATGTCTTTTATTTCACTGAAAATGTTGTCTGAATGAAGACCAAAAGATTGTGTCATTCATCATACTGGGCATTCTTTCAACAAAGGGATTTCAAGAAAATCTCTGTTTCAGCGAATGCATAAAAGAGAGTCTTTTGATTTTCATAGCTGTACAGTGCAGTACTAGCAGAGTAAGCTTGGTGTATAATTATAATTTCTGAGAATGAATTAAAATAAAAGATCTTTGTGATAAAATATGTACACTAAAATGTGCTATACTCTATGGATTGTAATTTTTCTGATGTCTTAAAATAAATAAATATTTCCAGAAGCAAACACAGGATATTTAGGTGCCAAATTCTTTTGTTTCCATAAGTGCCCCTTTGAATGCAGAGAATCTAGCATTTAGCACTTGGCATCTAATTAACTTGTTATCAGGAAGGAAGTCACAGAGCAATGCCATTCCCCATTCTCATAACTGCCAGAATCTGTTTTAAAACTGTGGAGGCAGAGCACTAATAATAACAGCTTTCTTAGCTTTACTCTTTCCCTTCTAGCTCTACACCATACCTTAAAGAAATCCTCCTCCTAACTCAGGGGAAAAAAAAGGCAACAAAAAACAAATCTTAAGAAACCCCTCCATAGCAAGATATAACCCTCAGAATTTTTCCTATTATTAATGTACATTGTTCTTTTATTCTGCTCTGAGAAACCTCGTTCTCACTAGTACATTTTTAAGTTAATGGAGATGAGATTCTGGGGAAGATGAACTAGGGAGTTTGCATATTTTCTATAACTAGACTTCCAGGAGACCAATTAATTTTAACTGGAATGATGGAAGGAGAGTTCTGTTATTCACCTTTTCAAAGTGCAGAACAGGCTTTGCTTCTATTGAGTAGGCTCATCAAATTTACATCACCATTTAATTAAATGTTTGTAGCAATAATTGACCTCAGGAGTAAGTAATTTGGTAATAAATAGATTCCACTGTTACTGACTCTGAGATGCTATTCATAGCCTCATAGCTTTGCCACAAATCTCATTAGCAATTTACTTAAATGCGTATTCCATTGTAGAATTGACAGTGAAACAGAATGAAGTTTAACAATAGAGATTTCAGAGCATGGTCTAAACCAGAAAATAACGTTCATTTCTCTGAAATTTTTTAGGGACAGCTCAAAACTGAGATATGAAAAAAAAACCAAAAAAAAACCGAAAACCAAGCTAAATCCTGATTCATTTAACATCTTCATGTTTTTTTCTTTTTTCTTTTTTTCTTTTTTTTGCCTGCTCAAATAATTGCTTAAAGAATCTGGTGCATATCTCAATTTGAGTTCAATAGTGTTTCAAGTAAAAAGGCAGGACCTTTTCATTAGTGTTGATGAAATACAGTGATAACCTCAAGAAACCAAAATGGACACACATTTCATGTCCTCCCTCCTCCAAACTATCGATTTATTACTCTGCTTATGTTTAAACCTATGAGCTAAGTTCAGAGGTGATGCATAAAATGTGTAATTTAGAGTCCTTTATGCTCAGTTAGACACCTTAAGACCTACTTACACTCACTTACTGGAGTATAAGTCAGTGAAATGGAGTGTAAATTGATGTGATTTACATGTGGAGGAGCTGGCAGAGTGAGAAGGTATTACCTCTAGGAGGGAATAGACTTTGTATGAGCACTTTCTAATGTTCAGCTGCTTTTCCTGCTACTCCTCTGCACCTCTGAGTAAAGATGTCTGCGTGAGCTCCTGCACACTCAGTGAGACTTGCTGGGCCAAGGGCACTGATGAAATATAAGAAGCGTGATAAAAGCTGTGTGCTGAGCAGTGAGTATGGGGTTTATAAATAAGTAACTAAAGGCTACACTTCCCAGTCCTCTTTGTAGTTAGCTGTAAACCCAGCAGTTTCCTAGTTACTTGTAGTGACTGTTCTCATCTATGGTTCTTGCTCTGCTTTCTATTGGGAAGATTTTTACATCCAGTGCACTCTGTATGTTTTGCCCTGATGCCTTGTTTGACAAGCTGGCAGGTAAGAGGAAAGCTCCACCATATTTTCTGTGGGATAAGAACATGCACCTGGCAGTTACCACGTTGCTGTAATTTCACACTCATACCCTGTGGTAAGTTGCTCTTTTGCCAAGTGAGCTATGTAAAACCTTGTCAGCTTCCAGAACTGTACCACTTGAAACATGTCTGTTTAAACCCTCCCAGTACAGAGGCAATTCCTGCAGGATAAAGAACTATAAATCTACTAATCTCAGTTTCTACTGCCTTAAAACCTCTCCTGATAATACACCAATTTAATAATTAAAACCCGCCCCCAAAACCTGACCAAAATACTTAGCCTTAGATCATGGTTATAACATAAGCAAGACTCAAGTTTCAAGTTAATTTGAAGAACAAAAAAATAGTGGGATAAAGCATAAAGAACACAGGAAGGGAAGTAATGGAGATATAAGATATCCTGGTAAAGACTCTGGGAAGACTTTAGCCTAGACCCCTCTGGAAAGTTTTGTAGCATATACCAATAAAATGTAAAAAAGAAAACAAACAAACAAAAACAAAAAAAAAAAAACCACAAGCCAAAAAATGTATCCAGCTTTTGCTTTGTTGACAAAAACAAAAGCAATTGTTCTGGCCAAAAAATATTTCATCAAGTGTTGTTCATTTGGCTCAAAAATCTAACACTAGCTTTTCTTTTATTCCTTTTTTCATTTATCTTGTTTTGTTTTGTTTTGTTTTGTTTTTCTTCAATTCCACATTCTGATAAAAAGACTTTATCAATTAATTATTGTAGTTATGTATTTAATTAAGCAAGATGATAAATTTATTCATATGTGTACGGTCTATATGTAAGCTTTCTGCTAAGTGTATTGGTATTAGATATTGGTAAAGTTAAATTTTATAGGCAGAAAAAAATTTAGCCATTATATGAGCTATAATTTTTAGGTACGATTTTTTTTTTTTTAATTCTGTTTTTCCCACAGATGAACTGTAAATAGGTAGCTAACCACAGTAAGTAAACCTACTCTAGGATTAAATTGCTATTTTCAGTTTGCATTCAAATCTCGAGTTATACTAAGAAGATTTTGCAGTGCAGCCAAAAGCTTTTTTGGTGCAGGACTGAATCCAACTAATGCTTTCTGAAACTGTAGTCAAGACAAAAAAAGTAATTTTTTGTTACATATTAGAATGATCAAGTGTTCCAATATAAATTCAACTCACTTTCTATGCAACTAACTTCATCTTGATTAGAATTAAAATTTTCATTCTTTTTTTCACTTGTTTCTAAATGAAGTCTTGTATCAACCTTGAATTTACACATGCACATTTACCAGATAGTAATAATCATTCTAAAATGATGAACATTAATGTTACCAAACTCATCTATTAAGTCCATCTTTCAATAATAAAGACATGAAGTAATCAAAAATTTTGCCTAATTGATAGCTACAATTATGGTGCATTTTCAGCTGATTGTTAAACTACCCCAAAAATTTACTTAATAAATAAAGAAATGTGCTACGTTTCTATTTCAAAATAGTTAACATTATATCTTAAAACAAGTGTTTTAAAATAAAAAAAAATGTAATTGAGGCTAAATATGGCACTGAGTTTAAAAATAAAAAGAAGAGTTTGGGAGATCTTGTACCTAAAGAGGAAATAAGGGTTTATTGCATTGCTCTTTGTTAAAAGAGAAATATGAAGTTAAAGGAATAAATTTACAAGAAAGAGAAAATATGCAAGCTCACTTACATAGTATATCCCCAAAGAGGATAATGAGTATGAGGCCACTTGGACTGACTGATGATGTTCATGTGAACAAATCTTTATTTTAAGGGAAACTGACTCAGCAAAGTAGATAGCTGCAGCAAATGTCGGTTAAACAACTTCCTATGAACCAGCAAGGCGCTGGAAAGAGTTTGTGTGTGCAAATGCAGTGAAGGGAACCAACATTCTGCCCCCACAGGGGCTCTGTCGGTGGCTGTGATCAGCAGGATCACTCGGGGCAGGGTGAGACTGGGGCCAGGCACAGTGCAGCCCTGGCTGACCCCAGAACTCGTCATTGCACAGTCAATGAGTGGAAGTGTTGATTTGCCAGCACCACTGTGACATTTCAAAAGTATGGCTGTGGTTTTGGAATTAACCGAAAGGAATATAATTATCTATGATATTTATATGTCTCCAGTTACTGTGCTATTTTGGTGCCAGCTGTAGAGCTGGGAGAATGGCAGTGGCCCAAGGATATTCGTCTCTTGCCATGGTTCCTCTGAGTACAGGAGGAGAAGTTTTTATATTTCTTTGTGTCCCTGCATTTTTGCTATTTACAGAATACCTAGGGATATCACATTGTGTCCCTAAGATTCACAATTAACATGAAAAAAGACACAAAAAAAAAAAAAGAATGATGGAATTTATTTAATACAGTCATTGGAGATATAGATCCAACTTGGCACGTATTAACATAGGAGTTCAGGAAATAGATTGAGACTATCTCTTGTAAGGAGCTCTTGTAAGATGAAGCCCTAAAATGCTTTGAAAAGAATTAAAATTATTTAGTAATTTTTCTTTCTTGCTCCTGCTTAATTTAATCAATTTTCTAGGGAAGTTTTGACTAAAATTCTATCTGAATTGTAGGATGAGTTTTTATTCATTTCCATTTGACAGACTTCAGCCAGTTAAATTTGAAGATATGAAAATTCACCAAACAAAATTAAAAGATGTTTGTTAACACCTTCACCTCCTCACAGTTTTAGTAAACATCTTCAACAGTTTTTCACTAAATTCATCAGCACTGGTATTAAGCATAGGAAGAATTGTAAACCTGAATAACTGCCTTTAAGCTGTTAGCAATGCTATGTAATTTAAGAACGACAAGATTTTGGGTGCATTAACTAATTTTCTGCTTTGTAGAAGCCTTAATAGCCCTTGCACGGTCCTTGAAGAAAATTAGGCATTTCCTTCAAACATTACTCTTATATTTAAGAAGTTTCTATATATGCAAAAATATGCAACATTAGCCAAATCCATCTATTTGTTTCAGCTAGGATTCTTTTTTATAAAGAGAGTGCATAGCTATTTGTAGATGTTTGTTGCGTAGTATTGACTATTATTCTGACTTGCTTGAGAACTGTTTTAAAGAGCAGACTCATTGCTATAGTGTTTTCAAAAGTATCTCACCTTTCTAAGGTGTTCTGCACCTTTAAGATTTGAAATATTTTATAAAGTCGGATGCCTGAGATTTATTCATTGACATTATCCCAACTTTTTGTTCTTGTTCTTTGGGTTTGAAGGGAAGACTGTTGTATAAAGATTTTGTTCAGGGGATGCACATTTTTAGGGTGAAGAAAAATTCACCTTCAAAGGTACAAAGCTATATTAAAATCTAGGACCCACATTCTCTTATGCCTTAACTACTATATCTTCACTGAAGTAAAAAGAGGTGCTCCAGATTGTCAGAAGTGTGAAATGAGAACAGGATCCTTCCCTAACATGCATCACTGTGAATTTTAACACCATACATATGTCTAAAATCCAAAGAAATTCATGTCTATATTTGGCTTTGGAAGCACATGAAATTTGAGTGAGCAGTTTTTTCAACCAAGAATTAAAGAGGTAACTAATCCAGAGCAAAATCAAATAAAAATGACATATAAATCAGTGAATTATTCACACTATGACCTTGTTGATTGGCTCATGAATAGTTTATGTTCTCTCAATCTTTATATTATACGGAGTTATTCCTGATTTTATGACATTACCTGCATTGAAAACAGCATATTCCCTGATCATTGTCGGGTCTCTTTTGGTCAATTTTTTGCTATTGTGTTCATAAAATAAATTCATATTTGATACTATAGAATAAGGTAACCCGCTGTGGCAGTATTAATATTATACCTCACTGCCTGTTTTTGGCTTCAGCTCCAAGGGTCACTATTGGTACTTTTAGAAGAGAAGTGTATTGAAGCGTATTTACTTAGGAAATGCCTAGACCAGAGTCACAGCAGGCCAGGAAGAGAGGAGCTTTTTTAAGGTCTAGTCTAATTGATTGGAAGTTATCAACTGTCCCACACAAAGGGAGAGCTCATGAACATTTCTCAGAGTAGAAATATTCATCTAGGTCTTTAATGAAAAGCAGAAAAAGTCTGCCTTTCAAAGGAAATGAAATAGTCAATGGGTCTGTCATATCCCGAATTTCCTACTCTCCATCTTTTTCCCTGTCTAAGACTGTGATGGCTGTATTTTGGGTTTGGGCCCATTCCACTTATGATCCTGCTGAACCTTTCTTATTTTATCTAATATCTCAAGCAATAAAGGACAGCCATACACTACTAAGAAGTACATGATTCTCTCCAGTTCCCTTTTCCTTGTGCCTATAATATATACTTGAAAGATATGACATGGTTCTCAGGAAAGATTTATTTTCTAAATGCATTAGCTAATCCCTTAAAAACTCCACGGAGTATTTTTCACTTAGGCACACAGAAGAGCAATTTTTCTTTGTTTGGAGAGCTCCATCTCGATTGTTTTATTAAACAGAATGAAAAGGAACAATCAAACTCAATGAAAGCACTTTCAACAAAAGACCTCACATGTATGGAGCCACAGACAAATCCTCCCTTATGTCAGTCATTGCCTCCCTACAGGAACACTGATTTCACAGCATTTGAGTGCTGGACTCTGGATGTCCTTTCTATCCCAAATTATTGCATGATTCTAAGACCATATTTTGGTTTTCTTTGGTCCTGATTATGGTGAGTAAGACTGAAGTTTGTACCTCTCTGTTACCACAAGAAAAAAAATATAGCCTTAAAAATAATTTACTTAAATGAATCTAGTAACTTGCATGCTCAGGAATCACTGAGTTAGTAAATGAAAATAAAAGGTGACCCCAATCTGCAAAACATAAAATAAAATATATTGCATTTCACCATTAAAACTCACCTTCTTATCCTCATAATTCTATGTAAAGACCATTAGTGGGCTAGTCAAGTAGATCAGATCTCAAGCTTTGGTTGAGAACCTCAGAAAACACAGAGTACAGCCTGACTGTTGATGCAACCTGGTATCCCACCCTGACAGCACTGCATGGAAGCCATCCATTCAGTATGCTGTCAGTATACATTCAGTATACTGTTTTCAGAGTGTACACTGGTCATTCAGGTTAAGAAGGAAAAAAAAATTGAATATAAGGAGGTCTTTTCTTCTCTCTTTCTCTTCTTGACTATTTGGATAAGATTAAATGGGATAATGTGAATGCCAGTGGTGACATCTTTCTTTGTTTGTCTACTTTGGGTAATCATTAGTTCAGAGTTTAGCTTGACTTGGATTTGAACTCTGATTTTTGCCTCTTAGTATGTTTTCAGCTGCCTCTGAAAGATGACAGGATAAGTGTAAAACTCTCTTACCAAGGACATAAGCAGACAACAGCTAGCACAAGGCATATGCTGTGACAGGAACAGCCACAGCTGTTTCAGGAGCACTGAAACTCTCTCTTTGGGGTGAAGTTAATGAGAATTAACTTGGAGAAAAAGGAAAGAAAAATTAAAGAGATATTGCACTGTTGAAGCAATGATTTTTCCAGTTATATTTTATAGACCAAACTACATTAGCCATCTCACCAGTGTTTGCATCTGTGAAAAATGGAGAAATAATTAATGAGTTCCAGGAAGAAGTTAGAAATACATTTATACATTTGTTCATTAGAATTTTTCCACAGAGAACTCGTAACTCCATTTTGAAGACTTGACACATTTATAAAACTCCTGAAAAGTTAATCTCTGTGCTCAGTGTATTTCTCATATTTTTATTTCTGCCTTCTTAGTACAGTATCTTTGTACTCTTCTTAAGCAAACTCAAAGTTCACTTTTATTTTGCTGTTGTGTCTTTGAGCAATACTTAGCATCTCTACACATGTTAAGTATGAGCACAGCAACATCAGTTTCTGGGTCTAGGGACATTTAAAAAGGGTATAAGTTGTAAGAAACACCACAGAGAGATGGAAATAGGGATTCTAGTCACTATTCCCTACCCAGACAATGGTTTTGCTCTCATGTCACGTTCTTGTGACAGTGAGTAAGTACTGAAAGAATGAAATAAGCTCCAAATTTCTATGTAGCAAAAGCTGTCTCTTGAACTTTGCTCTGAACTTCTGATCCCATAGAGATAATGTTCTTTCTAGCACTGCTGAACTCCTAAGCTATAAGTAATATCCAAAGAACCATCTCTGCACTCTCTTTTCTCCAGAGAAAATTTTCTATTTTGTGCCCATGAGTAAAAAAATAGGATTTGAATACTACCTTTAAACAAAGCTTAGGAATCAGCCTCTCTACATATCTGTGACTCTAATCAGAAGTACAAAAGAGAATAAAATTGCCTCAGTACCTTTGAGGATACTGCTATTAGACACTAATGTTGCTCCTTTTGGCACAGTGGCATAGATAAAGACAGACAGGCAGAAAATATCAACTTATCAAGCACCTCAACAGAGTGAGACAATTATATATAACATATTCATATAAATTATTTCACCTGGTTGCTTCATTTCCCTATTAAATAGCTCTGGTTACTCTTATCTCCCAGAGAGTGTCTTCTAGGGATCACCCTCATCAAGTGTGCTAGCATGCATTCAACATTAGCTCAGCATTAGCTCAACATTTAGTAACTAATAACATTGTAATTTGGTAACTGGGATTGAAAAAAAGGGGTGAGTTATGGCTTACAAAAAGAAAGGTAAAGAAAGATTTTATAGTTATTTAAAGTTCTGACTTCTGAAAGTTGCCTGCTTTTTCACTGCTGTTCTATCTTTGCATAGTCACAGATATACCTGTTGCTCAGAGAGAGGGTTGTGAGATCTCATACTGCAAATATCCTTTCTCCTCCAAGCCAAGAAATTTTAACCAATTTATACCTCAGGGCTTTTGCTTCACTGGACAGCTGATTATATGTAGTTATCTCAAGTCAGTGTTCACTTTAATTTCCCTTCAAGTTGTCTCCCTTGGAATAACTCATTAGTGAAGTACTGAACAAAACCTGTTAGGTTTTACCACCAGTGGCCCTAATTCTTAACTCAATATGGTCAGAAATAAGGATTGACTTGCCTGAAATCAACTGCAGCACAAAACCAGTGGCACAGAACGATAAGGTTACAGGCATTTTATGGCATATTTTTAGTGCAGTGAATCATTGACTTTAACAGCAGCAAGGCCAAGATCATGCTTTCATATTTTCTGAAGGAAAATTATTTTAGCATATATAATCTTTACATAATTTCAGGAAATCTGTGTTCACGTACCTAATTTATTTTTATTTTGCTGTTTTTTTCTTGATTTTTCTTGCAAAGCTTGAGTAAAATATATATCAGGATCTTTCAAATGAAGACTGGGGGAGCAGAACTCCTGCAAAGTCTTAAATAGGAATGCCCATGCTAGGGAACACTTAATGCTTTGGTGCTCTGGGCCCATGAAACAAGTTCTGGTGTTTGAATAACGTGGCTATAGGTAGAGCTTTGGTACCTCAGTGACTCTGTAAATTAAGAGACTTCAGCTTCCTCTTTATAGTTTTTTTTTTTTTTTTTTTTTTTTTCTGTAGCCTTTCTAACAATTTGGGGGCATGTAATCTTCTGGATGCTACATATCCTTGTTTAAGAAACTTAAAATAGGTTTGGTTAAACATGAAGTGTGAACCACTGCATTGTGGTGTTTCAACCACCCTTGCTTCCTATTTCCAACATCCAGATCTGCAGCCCTCCTTGACAGAGTTATCAAGGTTCTTTTCTTTTAAGAAAGTTAATTTATACATATCAGATTTCCTCTTAGGGTGAGGCTTCTAAATAGCACTTTGCTTTTTACATAACTAGGACTCTGGGAGTGGCTTTCTTCTGTACTCTTTGATACTGGAGTCCTGGCTTTCCTAGGCTGCCCTCTAATTTGTAGTGATTTTGTTGAGAAGAGATTAAGGTCTGTCATACCAGAGATTTGCATGAGCACTTCTTCATTCCTTATGCAACACTTCAGTTTAACTTTTGATGGGAAAGTAGTGGTCAGAGTGTTTGACCTATTTATCCCTTTTCTGTTCCATTTTTTTGAGATAAAATTGTCATATAGATGAATTGCACACAGCAGAGTATGTGTGTTTTGTTACTGTGTCACTTTTTGGTAAATTGAAGAGAAAAATCTTTTGTAATCAGCTAGCCTTTAATTTAATAACACTTTTGATAAATTGCAAGTATACAATAGGTTATCAAACCCAAACATTAAAGACTTCAGTTTGACACTGCTGGAATGAATCATACAGACATAAAAGGCCAAATTTGCAATTCTTTATCTGGAGTAAAGAAAAAAAAATCATATCAGTTTCAAGACCTGCACTAATGACTAAATAAAGAAATTCAAATCTGGCCTATAGAAGTTAGAGATTATGCTTGAAGCATAACTGCTCATTACAACAGCATTTACAATTCCTTTACTAGAGAGTTTTGGCACACTGTGGATCATTGTTTATTGTATACTACCATTAAGCAATACCACCTTTTATATTATTTTTTTCCTTTATTTTCTTAATTTATGCCCTTTTCTTGTAACTTTTCAGCTTCCCACATACACAACCCCCATGCTGGATCTGCTACACTCCAAAACATGTGAGTGACAACAGGCTTGACAGCCTTTGGGGTGGTGAAAGATCTGGCGAGAGCAAGCCTCCCCAGCATGCTCATCAGGTTAGTAAGGATACTGTCATGGATGGCAGTGCCATATATTCCTGTCAGCCATAAGTGTAAAGTGATTGCAGCCAAACCTTTCCTCACAACAAAAGAAGGAAAGGCTGGAAAAAAACCTTTTTGAGATAGTTGAAAGATTGTAATGCTTTCCAATTTATAAAAGAAGGCTCCCATCAAAGTGCTTTGCAGGCATACCTGCTTTTTTCTATCACTTGCACATTGTAAAGAGGCCTTACAATGGCTGTAAATATAACCTATTTGAATTTTATAGTCTTTTATGCTGCTGAAACAGCATGCTGAGGCTTTAGGATAAACACAAACTAAAGCCAGCTTGTTCCATTAAGACCTTCATTCATCTATTTTGGAGATTTCCCTCTCAGAAAGATCATGGAGGTAAAACATCTTTACTGGGTAACCCTGACTGCAAAGGGAAATACCTACTTCAGTCTCCCCAGAGCTCAAACATACCCTGTCCTCAGCAGCTCTGTGTGTGTGTGTGTGTGTGGACACCCACGTCCTTCCTTTAGGTGGCCAGCAACAGCAGAGGCCCTATCCAAGGGGATGGTGGCAAAGCAGGTGTGTCTGGCCTTTTTCATTGGAAAAAGGTGTGTGAATGCTGTCTGTGATATGGTGGAAGGAGCAGGGAAACAGCTGTCAAGTCCAAAGTCAGCACCTCAGCAGCTGGAATCTACCAGCAATTTCAGTTTATGCTACTATGTTAAAACAAAAATGCAGTCAGTCCCATTTAATTTTGTATTAAAGTGTGCTCTTTACTTGCTGCAGAGGTAATAATCATAATAACTATAGCAGATGAGCATTTACCATATCTGCTCTCCCTGTCATGTCACATCACCATACATGACTAAACATCCTGAGGTTGAGAGAAAACGATAGTACATCTCCATTTCCTTTGCACACCCTCATATTAGCCAGGTAAAACATGATTTCCACAGGCTCCTTTTGATAGAGGTAACAGTAATTGTTGTCTATTTAAATCTCGTAGGTGAAGGACTTAAAGCTGAGTGGCATTTTCTAGGTCAGAAAAGAGATTCAGCACCTGTATTTTTCAATGGCATGCCAGAGCCCTGACTTCTGCCTTGTGCTCCCACAGCTAAATTTTATCTCATAGAGCTGAACAGTGGTGATGAATGTGCTGTGGAATTTGCTTTGCAAAACAAATATTTAACTTTCTACAGATCACTGAAGACCTGATAAAACTCTTTAGTGTCATCTAACTAATTTCCCTCTATTTTTAATTGAAAAATATTTTTATTCTTTTCATCTAAATGTGTGGTTCAAATAAGAATGGAAAGGCCATTTTCAGTTCTTTTCAAATGCCATTCATGCAAATAGGATTCACAAAGTCAGTGTTCAGAGTGAGACTTTGAAGGAAAAAAATCCTTTTAAAAAGCATCAGTTATTTCAAAAAGAGCAGTTAAATTTATGATTAATCAAGAGGGCCAATATTTCCTTCTTGCTTTTGGGTGTGGAGAGGCAAATGGCCAGGAGGGCAGGGTTGGGCTGTGTGTGGGGGTGATGTGAGCAGCTTTGATATCCTGGGTGATGCTCCCCTGTGCACAGGCTGGTGGTGCAAATTCCACGGTGGGGAAGGGCAGAACAGGAGCCAAGTAAGCACTCCAGAGAGCAAGGTAGTGAGATAGATAGTTTGTTCCCAGCAAAGACATGGGAATGTGGCATGAACTAATTCATCTAGCTCCATTATCCAAATTGGAGATTGGAGTCCACAAAAGGCTTTCCCCCCTTGTTTATTGTTTACAGTAACTTCCTATGAGGACTGAAGTCTTTCTTATGTTAGGGCAAAAAATTAAACACATCACAGTTGCTGAAAAATATATCCAAATACAATATTGGTAGGAAAAGTCAGTCTGAAAATGACAGTATGAGAAAAGCATTCTGCACAGGACATTTTATACAGTTGTTTTTCAACTCTTTTCAATAAATTAACTAAATATAGTTCTTATTTATTGTTTGCATTTATTTAGATCACTCAGTTTATAGTAAGATTCTAATTTGACAAAATTGGAGGATTTTTTACTTCAAGATCTTTTAGACTTAAGTTTTAAATATTTTATGTTAAACTTTTTCCTTGTCTCCCCGTAGAAAGCAAAGGAGATATTTTATAAGTCTTGACATACTTAATCTTGTTAAGTTCTGATATTAAAAATACCAAAAAATGTAAATCATTTGAGTGCTAGGAATTATTAGGAAAGGGACTGGGTACGAAAAGAAAAACATTATTGTATTTCCATATATATTGCTTAAATGCCCATAGATTCAACATTTAATTAATTTCTGATCATTTTAACCTAAAATGGGATGTAGTAAAATAGACAAACTGCATTGGAAGGAGAGAAGGCTGATTAAGGAAACAAATTGTTTCTATATTAAGTACATACAAATAGATTAAGATTATACAAGACAGAAAAGACACAAACAAGGTGGGAACTACAGAGATCTAAAGTTTTTTATTTGCCTGGGGAAAACATGCTTATATGCAATGACTATTCACTGCTTCTCTAAATACAGGAAGCAATGGAAATCAAATTATGTTTTCATATTGTAGGTTTAAATCAAACAACATGTTTTGGTTTTTTTCCTACATAAAAAAAAAGTATTAATCTGTGCAACTTGTTGCTAAAGTATTTGCCAATGCCAAAATTTTAAATAAATTTAAAAACTCATTAAGCAGCCTCAAAGAATATTCTATGAAAGACTAATAAATATAAGTTAAAACCTGCTACTCAGGAAGACCTTGAAATTCAGATCAGAGAAATCTGTTAGATGGTATGAAGAAAGTAGGTCTTTAATAAATTTTGCTGTGTTTCTATGCTGTTCTGTAGAGGAAATATTCTTCTTTCATTTCCCTTGATCAGTCCTGAAGGCAAGAAACTACGTCTAAGTTTTGTTCTACCCAACAAAATTACCTTTTTCCTGGAGTTCATAAAACCTTAACAAACATTCAAAATTAAGCAAAACTAGATATTTTGATTGTCAGAAGAATGTTGGCCAGGTTGTAGCGAATTAAGGTTGAAAGGAATTAGTAAAAAGTCAAAGTACCTATTTACAAAACAGAAAATCTCATTTTCCTCCCACACCTATTCATATCTATTTGCAGTCATTACAGGTAAGAACGTACTGCTGGTGAGGATACTTAAACATATAATTACACAAAAAATATAGCAGGTAAAGTAGAAAAACAGGCAGAATAAGATAATACAAAAGTTAGGCTTATTTGATATTGGACTGTGTTTAAAATTTTGAGGTTTTTATCAGCTCCATTGAAAAAATTAGAGAATACTTTCCTATTGTTTTTGCGATGTTTTACTTAAGCATTATTTTGTTATTCTCCTTGCCTCAGTTAGCTTACCTAACTTTCACCATTCAGTCATCTAAAAGAACAATTTACCAGATGTATATTTTAATAAAACAAAGTGAGTGAATTTTTATTATGCTCGTCTCTGAAAAGAAATAATCTCTTCTACTCACTCTTTGCAGCTAATTATCTAATCTCCTTCAAATTCTTACTAAGCATAAGCCTGCCTTTTCTGGGGATTGATACAGAACTACCTTGATCTATTAAAGTGGGTCACACCTAATCCTAATATCACACCAAAAGGAATTGAATAAGAAAAAAATAAGGCTCAAATCTTCAGAATGTGAGGAACAAAACTGACTTTATTGCCTCTAAAGATGGTGTTCTAATTGTGCAAATTTGATTTCACATTACATCTGGAAAGTCCTAGCTACTATAGATTATATTTATACTAAAATTACCACTTTTTATGAAAAATCTGGATGTTACATAGGTGTGACCGTCCACTCTTAAGGGGAAACAATTTTGTTAAGCTATCTGAAGCTAAATCAATTGAAGTTGGAAAAAGCAGACAAGCTGATACACAGAAACTGGGTCTTTTTTCTTTACTTAAAAAGAAGCCTTTTCCTTTCTACCTCAGAAAGCTGGACTATCACTCATTTCAATGACAAATATTTCCTCTTCCTAAAAAATCTTGATTTTTTCCTAGCCTTAAGCAATCCTTTCTGTGATCATGGTACTGAAATAAGGAGGTTCTGAAAGACCAGCAGACTGAGAGATGACTGAGAAGTTGGAGCCATGGCTATTTATTTAGGTTAGATATCCTGCTGTTAACAGTAAGGAGAAGCAGTGATGACCTAGCACAGTTGGAACTGGATCTGCTTGCTCTGAACAGCTGGGAGAGCAAAGGTGAAGCGTCAGCTATTTAGTGTAATTCCGTGTGTTATAAAATCCAGAGTGTCATGGGAGTGATGCATCGCCTTGGCTTGTCAGACTGGTCCTTCTGTGGTACAGATTATGTCTCAGGCTGTCTGAGTTTGCTCAGTGTTTGAGATAAGGAAACACTTTGAATCTTGCTAAAATCCCTTAAGAAACCAGACACCTGAACTGCAAACAGATGACATAAGCATCAGCAGTCAATAATTTGGAAGTTTATCTCTCACTTGTACAATTCAGTGGGTGTTTAAACATTGATTTTCTCGAAATTAGAATCAGGCTCCCAGGTTCTAAATTAATTTTTAACTAATGTACAGAAGGAAATGCTCCATTAAATTGCTGCTACTGTATTACTTGTCACAACACCAACACCACCTTCTGCTGTTGCAGAGGCCTCAGTTCAGCAGCCTCTCATCCTCCAAACTGTTTGAAATCAATAACACTATATGCAGTCTCCCAGCAAACAGTGAAAACTCTGTTAGCCTAAACCTCACATGCGGCAAAAAATTTACATTTACATTAAAGAGTAAAATAAGGGTTGAAAAGTACTCTTTTAAGGCTGAAGTGTTAAAGTTTTGTTGTTTATCTAAGACTTAGTGGCAGACATTTCCTTTGTTCCATGGACTCTCTGTGGACTCCAAGGTGGGTAAAAAATTCTGATCTGTAGTCTGAGGTAAAAGTATGAACGTCTTCTTCCTGAAGTTTTCAACTTTGCATACACCTGCTGGACTAGAATGTATTAATGTGATGCTCAGTTTGCCCTCATTTTCCTTTCATTAAGGGAAATGTGGACATTCAGTAAAGTTGCCAATCAGCTGTGCTTGACGTTACTGGACTAAGTCAGGAAGTCACAAGTTTTGTTAAGTTCCTTCAATGCAGGAGCAATTAGAACCTGATAGCCTTTATTGTTCTTGTCACTTGCAGGCTTTTTTAAATATTATATGACAGAAACAAATTCAATGGGGTATTTTTATTATACCTAACTCATCTAGCATTGCTGTCAAGTTAAGTTATAGTTTTAAGAGGAAATCACCAAATAACACATTTATGGTTCTGTTATGGTAAATCACAGCATCATTATTCAGATAGAAAGTCTACAACAATAATACTATCTTCTCTATTTTTTTCTATCAATTCTGCTATGTATCAATGGGCAGAGAAATGACAGCTGATATATCCTCAGTACATAAAAATGGCTTGGTATGTAGCTGCTACATGTTCCATTTAAAACTAAAGCAGCTTCTGTACAATCTGTCACATGTTCCCATAGCTAAAAATGGACATGTGAAAGCAAACACAGTTGCATATCAATAGGTTAGGCCATGAGACTGTCTTGACCCTTTGAGGTCAGTAAAAAACATGAGTTCAGTGGGCTTTTCAGTTAGATTCTGGGCATATGTACCTATTCACCACAGATGTGCATTTCAAACTAGAGAAGTAAACAGAAGTATTTACAGATAGATAAAGGTATCCTCCTTAAGGCATGGCTACTTTGCTTTCACCTACTAACCAAAACTTGCTTCGTTTGGTTCAAGAGGCTTTTACACAGCTTCACTCTCATTGCAGTAAAATAGAAACTAAAATTTACTTGAAACTCTTCTGTATCCTTGCATAATTTCAAAAAAGAGTTTGGTGGCTTATGAATGGCTTCAATTAAGCAAAATTCTGTTTAATTTGTATGAGTCAATAATTTGAAACAATCGTGTTTGGAAATTTAAATTAACATAATGAACAGAAAAAAATGCCTCTTCTACTCTTGATATTGTTTTAGGTTGACTACATTTCATTTTGACATTTGAATTTGTTACTGGTTGAAGTTTAAATTACAACAATGAAGGCATATTTGTTTCAGGTTTAAATTTCTCTTTGTTTAATATAGCTGTCAAGTCATGAGAAAAATTCAGATCATAAAAATAACATTTTTAAATAGAAAAATATTTTATAAGGCGGTTAAATTTCATTTGTTTTAACTTCAAAAAGGAATGGGTTATTTCAAAATTGCAAATCCATGAGCAACAAATTTTGTATCTGATTTGGGTCGTTTGTAAAGGCAAGCTGAAGCAAACTATTTCCTGCTGATGTTCACAGTAAGTATATCTCCTGGTTTAATAAATCATTGGAGATAAAAGGTTCTAAAAGCTAGTTTGAAATACCTGATGAAGAAAGAGATTTTCTTCTAGTTTTTTGTGTCACCTGATAACCTTTCTAAATGCTCGGACAAAATTCAGGATTAAACATAAATTTTGTGTCTATTCAGAATTATTCTCTTGAAAGAGCTAAAATATAGTCCAGGTCAAAGAAATCTTGAGGGGATCATATTTGGTTGAAATTAATGATTCTTCCGAAACTACATTTCTTATATATGGGATGTAATTTGCAAAATTTTATTTTGAGGGGGAAAATCATCACCATAGTGCTAAAAAATCTCATCATTTTCATAATTATTAAGTTTTGCTGTTGATTTTACTACTTACATTTTACATTTCTATTGTGGTTTTTTTCCCCACTCTGTAAATTACAACACTTTAAAAGTTTAACCAGCCACAGGAATTTTCCCTCCCTTATGTCACCCATGTTAAAACTTCCTTTCCTGGAGGGTTTGGAGTCTGAAGATTTGTTATACATGGATTTTTTTTCCCCCTAAATGGAGCTTCCAGACCCTCCACAGCTCTAAGGATTGATTTTCTAAAAGCTCTCTGTTGTTCAATTCAGATTTCATGTAAAAGAGTGATAATTCTGCAAGAAGCTCTCTCAAAGTGTCCAATTCTTGATGCACCTGCAGTAGAGGTGAGCAGACCAACTGAGGAGGTTGTAGGTGTACATCCCAGGCAATTCAGGACAGACCTGGCTGTCCAAACTGAAAAGCTTACACCTCCATTGTGATGGCCTGGTTCTGTGGGTTATTTTTTAAAGTAAAACATGAAATCTGCCCACCTCAGTGTAAGGAAAGTGAGGTTGGACCAGACGACCCCACCGTGTCCCTCCCAACCTTACCCCTTCTGTCATTCAGAGAATGTGACAAACTGATTTTCCCTCCAGGAGGATGCTCAGGGCTGCAGGTGAGACACGGCAGGTACATGCCACTGGGACATTGGTATGAGTGACATTTCTGACACGTTCCTGAGCACAGAGTCTCCCTCTTGGCTACTTATTATCAATTATTAGTGATTGCTGAGCTGGAGAACACTGAGTGGCTCCAGCCCTCACGATTGCCTTTCAATGTGCTGCCGTGAGGGCTCTGGCTGTCTAAATGCTTCCTGCAAGGGAGCCTGTGTGCCCATTTTTTAAAGTCACCTAAATCCTTTGTAGACACAAGCCTTTGGTAAAAAAAAACCTCCAGCTGAATCAGAGGACATTAAGGCAGGATTATAAAATATGAAGTTGTTTCATAAAGACAATCTCCTGTTCAGATATCACAGTGCACTATTTTGCAGTGAAACTGTTGAATTTTAATTATTTGATAAGTCTGAGAAAAATTTGCTGGATTGATTTTCAAAGTTTTCTGTATTTATAGTTTCAATTAACTTCATTGCACATATACTAATGTTTAGGTTAAGCATTCTTCATACCAAATAAATTTATATTTTTCATACAGTCTCTTGGGTTTTTTGGTTTTGTTAGATGTTCCACAGAAATATATAGCTCCTTTAAGGAAAGAGTAAAGTTTACATTACTTCATATGGCTCATTGTTTTGACTTGCTGTGTATTTCTGACAACATATTCAGGCTTTTTTGAAAGTTCTGTTGTAACTGACTGCCAGCACCTGAAAGAGCATTTCAGGACTAGAGTTTGAAATGTATATACTTTTTCCAGGCCAGTTGAGTAATGAAAACATATTTAATTATTTCCAGCCTCTCGAATGGTGCGCAGTGTAATTAACTATGATGTGGATTTCCAGGCTAATTAGAGCGAACTGTGGTAACAAACTAATTGGACACAAAAGTACCTCTGAAGAGCAATAAAGCAAATTTATCACTTGTGTTTCATAAAAGTAACATGAAAGTGGAATGAATACAGTATATATAAAAAATTTAGGAAAACAGTTAAGATGATCTTAAAGGCAATATGAATTTCTGTCAGTCAATTTCAGAATCAAGTGGGTCTTTGCCTTATTTAATTCTAGCCTCCTACATCTAAGTGTAGCTGCCCACCGACATGCTGGACCTCATGTCACAACTCCCTTGACCACCTTCTCCTTAGGCAGTAAAATCTTTCCCTATAGCTACTTGGATTCCCATGAATCCACTGACACATACTCTCAAGATTTCATGACGTCTGCTATTTGTCCTAAAAATTTCTGGTCATACTAAATTTTATAAATTGCAGCTTTTTTAGGAGGGGAAAAGCATGTACAGGAGAAGTATGAGAATTTTGTCATGTCCAGAAGGGAAGGGAAGGGAATTCCTTAAAAATAGAAATGATATTTCTATCTTTTGTATTTTTTTTTCATTGCTCTGTCCCTATTTTTGTTATCTCATTATAAACAGATAATTGTGTATGAATAAAGAAAATGAAGAATTATATTTACATTTCCTTCACATTGCAATCTAAATCTCTCTCTCTGATTCTATGAAATATTTTGGGGGTTGATTTCTGAGACATAGTGCACAGAAGAGGAAAAACTGAGGTTTAATTTCTACACTCCTGTTAGTCTCACTTCAGTGCCTGGTAAAGTTATGGAGAAGATTATTCTAGGGGTATTGAAAAATGCCTGAAGGACAACACAGTCATCATGCAGCACAGCTTCGTGAGGGGAAAGTCCTGCTTATCAAACCTGATTTCCTTCTATGACAAGGTAACCCACCTAGCTGATCAAGGGAGGCCAGTTGATACAATCTTGAATTTCAGCAAAACTTTTGATATCGTTTCTCATTATATCCTCCTGGACAACATGTCCAGCCTTCAGCTGCACAAAAACATTATGTGATGGGTGATTAAGTGGCTCTTGGTCAAGTGCATTCAATGGGTGCTGCTGCCATTCAGGCACTAGTGGGGTTCTGCAGGCCTCCATCTTAGGCCTAGCTTTCTTCAATATCTTAATTAACAAATTCAATGCAGGACTCAGAGGGATACTAGGCAAATTTGTAGATGATACAAAATAAGGAGGAGCTGCTGACTTTCTTAGAGGCCCTGCAAAGAGTTCTCAGCAAATCAGAGGTCTGGGCAATTGCCAAATGTATGAAGCTTAACAAAGACACCTGAAATGAGGAACCCTGTATGTACGACAGGCTGGGAAATGAGGGGCTGGAGAGCAGCACTGTCAAAAAGGACCTGGGGGTCCTGGTCCATGGCAAGTTGAACATGAACCAGCAGTGCCCTGGCAGCCAGGAGGGCCAGCCCTGTCCTGGGGGGCATCAGGCACAGCATCACAGCCAGGCAAGGGAGGGGATTGTCCTGCTCTGCTCTGCTCTGCACTGGGGCAGCCTCACCTCCAGTGCTGGGGGCAGTTTGGGGTGCCATGATAAAGACATTTAACTACTAGAGAGGATTCAGAGGAGAACCACGAGGATGATAAAGGCTCTGGAGGGGAAGCTGCATGAGGAGTGGCTGAGGTCACTTGGTCTGTTCAGCCTGGAGAAGAGGCAAGACCCCATTGCAGTCTAGAACTTCCTCATGAAGGGAAAACAAGGGGCAAACACTGATCTCTGCTTTCTTGTGACCAGTGACAGGATCTGAGAGAATGGGCTGTAGTTGTGTCAAGGGAGGTTTAGGTTGGATATCAGGAAAAGGTTTTTCACCCAGAGGCTGGTTGGGCACTGGAACAGGCTCCCCAGGGAAGTGGTCACAGCACCAAGACTGACTAAGCTTAAGAAGCATTTGGACAATGTTCTCAGGCACATGGTGTGATTCTTTGGACTGTCCTGTGCAGGAGCTGGACTTCACTGATCCTTGCGAGTCCCTTTCCAGCTCAGAATATTCAGTGATTCTGTGATTCTTTAATACTAGAGCATAACTGGTTTTAACTGTGGAAGTGAGTGGCAGAATTTTCTTGTTATTCAAAGAATGGCTACAACAGAAGCGAATTCCTTCTTTGGGTATGTCAAAATCCTCAAAGTAAAGATGGCATATATAATTTTGCTTTTTTTCTGCTTCACTACCAACCAAGAAACTAGTTGTGAAGAGGTGGCAGAGGTACCTGCACCCCTGCCATCTCTCCCTGGCAATCAATCTCTCTTACAGATCCATTGCCAGGGATCTGGCATAATTTTCATGAAGATGAGAACACAACACTATGCCAAGATCCCTCTTTTAAAAGGCATAATCATTGTATTTGTTTCTTTGATTTCAAACATGGGTTATGGCCAGTATTTCTAATTTGATCTGGACTATAAATGGAGTGTTAGTAGAGGAAAACATATCAAAACCAAAACACACCTGAAACGTCATTTAAATCTTAGCACCTATGATAATATTTGTGATCTTTACAGTGTGCAGACTGTCTCATGTTCTGCATGTTCTTCCAAGAATCCCATGCTGTCACACCTGTAACAATGATGGCCCTGGAAAAATTAGCAATGGCCTGAACTGTAGTGGGGTCTGCTCATGCTTAAAATCTGAAACTCTACAGTCCATAACTACAGTTAAACTGTAACCTGAGACTGCTCGTACCCAGTCAGACATGAAATGAGACTGTAAGCTCCTGAACCCTTGATAACAATGCTATTCCCATTGATGTTATTGCCAGTTAAACTATTCTGGCTGAGAATTAATTGTCAAAAAAATCCAAGTAGAGAAAAAGCTGCTGTGCATGCACTTGTTATAGAGAGAGATTAAGAAATACTTTCCCCACACATGCCATTGAACTTGCACTTGTATAAAATAAATATAAAATGTTTTGACATCTTCAGACTTTTACCTAAAATGGTTCACAGCTAACTAAAGGAGA